ACTCAGAATTGCTGGTCACGTCATGGCGCTTATCACAAAGCCAGCTTTCACGATTTCCTGCGATATCTGCATAGCAAGGATAATAAACAGTAGTTCTGGCACAGATCGGTGCAATACTACTCGCAAGGACCGAATCTCAACGCTAACATCGGTGGACGAACGCAGGTGTGCTAATACTACGAATGCTTTCAAGACATCTACTACGAAGTCCTATCAAATCAATACTACAGATGTGAAGAAGACCAAAAAATAGTTACTAACCTCGATCGTTGCGCGAGTTAGATGTGATTACCGTGAATACCTTATCGTCCCAACCGTCAGCAGGTGGAAGAAGTTTTGTACCCGTAGCGTCGACACTAGAGAAGGACAGCATCAAAACGTTAAAAAACCATAGTAGAGATGAGTTCCTTACGCAACAGCTCGCAACGCTCCCGTTTTTGGATTTTTGTACTTCATCCCAGTGGCTCCGGGATATGTGGCTTGGAGTGTGGTCATATACAAAGTGTTATCCGACGCAGTCGGAAGCTCCATTGCTTCACCTAAAAAGGAGATTTTGTGCAAAACTTGAAACCTTCGAGAATCAAAAAAACTTCAAAGGCAATACCTACCAGTGCTGTCCGCCACAACTACAAAATCTGCATGCTGTAAAGTAGGATTTATAAGATCTTCTTCAATTTTTATATCCGGGCTGTCTGCTGACGTTTCATGAGCTCTCTTTTCACCTGTTCCTGTTGAATTTGATGAATCCCCCATTGTTCTGAAAATGAGGAGTTATCAATGTGATAGGTAATTGACGTAAATATGGACAGATGCGATAATCACAACAGTCAAAAGCAGAACGTTTGAAAGTGAAAGTGAAGAGCAACGCAACGTGCATTCAGTAAGATTTTCCCGTGCTAATGAGCACTCTGCCAACTCATTATCTATTTTCGCTAGTTTTTCAACCAGCTGAACAACGAGCGAGCAGAGTTCAGCTGCGACAACAATCCACCTCCTAACGCCGAATGCAAAAAAGAACATCACTGTATAACCATTAGCATATAGAAAGGAAGAGCCAGATTTCTAACAAATCGATTAAAAACGCGTAAAAAACACCTCTTTCGCACA